ATATTGTAAAGTTATTGAAAATGTTTCTTGGCTATAGAAGGAAAAATAGTTTTGAGTTATTTAGAGAGCTTGATGGCATGACTTCTATTGCTATTGAAATTGTTGTAGTATTTAAAGAGTGAGATATTGTGAGTGTGTTTGGTAGGGATTTTTTGGGGAAGAATTGATTTTTGAATAGTGATATGATGGGAAATGTGTGGTTGAAGAAGAAAAAAGTATTGGTGTGATGGAAAATATTATTTTATTGAAAAATGTGTGGTTGAAAATGAGAATTGATTTACTGTAGAAAATGAGAATCTGTACCAAACAGGCCCTGTATTTACTGCTAAGAAGTAACGTACTTTATCGTAATATGCCTCTTGAATAAAAGAAACATCTGCCTTTGCACAGGAATCTAATAGTCAGTCTTTAGATAAGACTGTCAAGTAGCAATAAATGACTGCGTTTGAGATGAACAGGTTGCTGTAGGTATTTTGATCTCTTATTCATCCTTCAGAATGAGTGTGCTTTTCAATTGTCCATGTTGTAAAAGAGAACTTGTCCCAAAAAAAAATATCGTAAAAAAATAAATGGATTTCATAGGTCTTATCTTAATTAACATAATAATCTCATGCTAGATATGACTGGGATGCTGCAACAGCAACTAGCTCTCAATTAGCATATGTTGCTCATATTAGAATTATTTATCACTTCATATAAATTTATGCATCGCACCGTGCATCGCACGGGGTGGAAGACTAGTTATAAGTAATTATTCCCNCTTAATATAAATTTGTGCATCGCACTGTGCATCGCACGGGTGAAAGACTAGTTACCCTTAAACTCGTTCACACCCCCCGCGCTTTCTTGCTCTATCCCTTCTCTCTCCAAATCTTTTTAAGAGCGCCAAAAACTGTAATATATAAAGCGTGTGTGTTTTTGTGTGTCTAAAGCCTAAAGGGCTCTTTGTGTGTTTTGTGTGTGTGAAATGGCTGTGTCAGAGAGCAAAGGGAAGAAGCATCAGAGTTATCTTTCTGTGTCTTCTCAAATTATAAGCTCAATTTCACGACCTTCACTCGAGTCTTTGCTAGAATTTCCCAAAAAAAAGCACATTTCTACTTCAAAGCTAAGGCCTGTTTTGAAGAATCCAAGATTCTGGATTTTCTTGATTTTTGTACTTTGTTTTCTTTGTATGTTGAAGATGTGGTTTAGCTTTGCTCCCATGACTCCTCTTAAACAGAACACACTTTTTACTCCTCAAGAAAAGACATTTTTATCAACTGGGCTGTCAAGTTCTCAGCTGAAAATTGTGGAAAATGGAAAAACAGATGATAAAAATGAGTTTTGGAAACAGCCTGAGGGGATGGGGTATAGGCCTTGTTTGGATTTCAGTGTAAAATACAGAGAGGAAACTGTTGAAATTATGAAGGACAGGACTAAGTATTTAGTGGTCGTGGTTTCTGGTGGAATGAATCAGCAGAGGAATCAAATTGTTGATGCTGTAGTGATTGCAAGAATTCTTGGAGCTGCTCTGGTTGTTCCTGTCTTGAAAGTCAATGTCATTTGGGGTGATGAAAGGTTCCTTCTTTTGACAAATTCTTGATTTTTCAGCCATCAAAATACTCTTTATTCCATTTGACCTTGTGTCATAATTTTTTATTTTTTATTTTTTTTATCTTCCACTTTAACTAAAAGTCATTTTGGTGCATGTAATCAATGATATGATTTTGAACAGCTTTGTGGAGGAATTGATTAGTCGTTCTGTTTCTCTGGTGATTATTGCAGTGAATTTTCTGATATTTTTGATTTGGATCATTTCAAGAATGTTTTGGCGAATGATGTTCGAATAGTTTCATCACTTCCCTGGACACATTTGATGACTACGCAGATGGAGAAGAAGACGATCCCTTTTAATGTTTCTCCCACACGGATTCGCTCTAGCTACCTTAAACAAGTAAGAGATTACATCGCCATGCCTGTGTATTCGAGTTTCTTTCATGGTTACGAGTGTTGTTCCTTAAATAGAATGGCCTTGATTTTAGAAAATATGGATTAGAAATTATATGAATGAACTGGAAGATACATGATCAATGAGTGACAATGACATGAATTGTTAATCTCGTTATGACATCTCAGTTGGATTAATCACCAAAGCATTAAAATTATTACATGAACTTCAGATTTTGACATCTCAAATATGAGTGACCTATTTGAAATTTTGATAAATATGAAGTAATTTGTGCAGTGTTTTGTTTTTGTTTTTGGGAATGGTAAAGGATCTTATTTCAAGCGTTTGATTTGGGAACCCTGCAGCTTAGAAGAGTTGGCGTATTACTTTTACGTGGCCTTGATTCAAGGCTTTCCAAG